TATCGCGACATACACTGTATGGCGCTGCCATCTATAGTCACACGTACAGACCCCTACGTCTATACGATATAGATCTCTTAGTTATGAGATTTAGTGGTTGAATAAATAGGTGGTGGAAAAATTCCACTCAAGTATGTCAGGTAGTGCCATCTATCAGCAGAGTGATTTACTTGTAGTTCCACTCTGTAGCGTATCTGAATAACTTCAATTTACATCGCTCCGCGGCTGCGTGCATAATATGCTTCTTACAACACATATTATGTAATATACTATTACAAAATAAGTAACAAATTTACATATAGGTGCTAATGATATGTATAAACCACAAAAAGGACAATACTTCATCTACAACCCATGTTAATATTGAATATTAGCAAAGTCCTGTTCATTGAAACTGGAACCCTCTGTATATAGGGCGAGTTATACTTGGTTTAATAAATGAAGTTTTAGTATTCATTTGATTTAAAAACAAATACTATCAAGCTTGTCTGTTAAAATAAGATCATATTTACATGAAACTATAAACATGAAAATTGTTAGATGCTAAAAAAATGTTAGGAAAACAACCGGAAAAAAATTTACATTTTTCAATATCATGTATCAACAAAATAACTCAAAGTGCATGCTTCTCAATCACTCCTTTCAATAAAAAATATCACAGCATGATTAACTTTCATAAAATCTTCACTCAACAGCTTTTAGCCTTCTCTCATTCACGTCATACGTCAGTCTTTGTTTATTGTCTATATTAGTAACTAAACATAGTATGCTACTTTACTCAAATTTGTTAAATTGTTAGAAAAAGTAATAAAACTAGGGAACAATTTTGTCATGTTCTCAAATAATTTTTTTTTTTCGTTTCCGCACGTGGACTGGTAGTGAATAATTGCCATTCAAACACTTCACTTTATCGTTAGGGACCTGCAGAGAGATTCTATTTCACGAATCGAGTCGAATCGGCTATTTTTATTCGATATTTGGTATTCTGTTTCTCGAATGAATCGTTCAAACTCGACTTGATTCCTCGATAGCTCAAGAGGAGTCGAGTCGATGCGTTTTTGTCAATCTATCCTTATCTATCATTGAATGTTTCTTTTTATCTGAATTTGAGGTTAAATCATCTTCTTTATGTGAAAGCAGAGCTTTGGAAGTGTGTAATCAACTTATTACTTCATAAATATAATATATAATTAATTTTCGATGTCGTTCAAACTCAGGATGCTTACTGGGAAATGTTAATAACATTTTTAGAACAGCACAGAATATGGTCACGGCCACAGGATGATTTTCAGAGTCAAATGGTCGTGAAATGAATAAAAAACTGTGAATCAGGCTAAGTCAAGTAAATTCATTGGGGCTTGGCGAGTGAACTCCTGAGAAATGCCATAAGGTAGCATCTTTGGCATCATCCAGTTGCATGAAACCTCAATGCACGGAATATTCGAGATTTTGTATATCTCCTTCATACTTTGATCTAACCACTAATAAGTGGGGTCTCAATGATTATATCAGAAGACGAATCAACCTCCTGAATCTAAATAATAGCTCAATGAATCTTTTTTGAGGTATAGGTAAAGAAAGATGAAGGAAGAAGAAGGTACCTACCTGTACCTACTTCTGTTTCATAGTTCTTGTCGTCAACGAATTATCTTTAGCTGCTGAAATACCATCTAGAACAATTAGAATAATGTTTATATTTGTCTTGGGGTTTGAAAAAATTGAAATTCATTAAAACAATATAACTTCATTTGTGATGGCTTTGGAGCTATGGCCTCGGTGCTCGTTTCATTCGATCAAAATCTCATCCCATTTCGCCAAAAAACCGACGATTTCCGAAGTCGAATTCGATCGCGATATGATCGAGAAATAGAATAGGAAATGAATTCGACTCCGAGTTCATCATCGTATCGTACGACAATCGACGATCGTGAAACAGAATCCCCCTGCTGAATTAATTTTTGCAACACTTCCTACTCGTTTTTTATGTAAATAATGTGTCTATGCGTTAAACGAAATTGTTGAATTTCGGAGCTCATTTCAAACGTACCGTCATGAACACTATTTGGCGATACGTCGAATAAATGGTGACGTCAGCTGTTATGCTGTTTCGTTATTGGTCAGATAATCTTCCATTCCCATTCACGAAGCAAGGTTGTCAAGTCACCAATTATAATCAAGTTATCGAGAAGATGTAATTGAATTGAACATTATAGGAAGAACCCATGATATTATAGTTCATTCTTGACTCTTTCGAGCAACAAGCATGTCCAAATATTTCTAATACTCCATAACAAAATTTCATGTAAATGTTGGAGACTTGGCAAAATTGTGCTGAATGTTGAGAAGGGACAAGACCACGCCCACAAGTCGGCACGCGCACGCGGTGTTGTCACGTTCACCGCTTCAAATGTCCTCTAGTGTGAATTAATATATAAATCCTTTATTTAGTCAATTTGGCTAATTTACATTTTCATGTCATTGCAATAGTCACAATGAGATCGGTATATAGTTAATTCATACACTTGTCACAAAAAAAATATTTACACATAATTTATATATATATACACATCTATACACATCCAAAAAAATGTGTAATGACTATTTACACAAATGTATTATAAGCAATAAGCCACAAATCATAAGGGAACATCTTGAGACAATTGATTTTGTATTGCTAAATAAGAATATTACCAATACATGATTGAGAATTCATTAATGTTTGAATAATTAATATGTCTGAAGATCCCAATCGTATTTCAACACATGGCAACTGTGCAATGGTCTGCCCCTACTTAGGTAATCGTGACATCAGTTTTTACTCGCGGTAAATTTCTATTCGTTTGAAAATTTCTGTGGCATTATTGATGATTTTAGCACCTAAAAATCGAACGAAAAATTCTAAATAAATATGAAATCGAAAAGTATTTGATTGACGATTATATTTGAGAAATAAAAATAATTAGTCCACTCGCCTATTTCCGAGCTCATTTCAAACGTGCCGTGACGTGTGACGTGTGACTTTCTTGAGCAACCATTACAAAACATCATTTAATTTGAATGTTGGCTAGTCTAGAGACTTGGCAATGCTGTGCTAAACGCTGAGAACTGACAAGACATTGCCCACAATCCTATGTTGTCACGTTTACCCGTACCAAATCTTCTCGTGTGTGAATTAATATAATTATTATTAACAGAAAATGCATCATATGCAATAAGACAGAGCATATAAGAGGGAAAACTACAAGACAATGAATTTTTATAGCTTATTCAGAATATTCGACGTTAGTTTATATTTCCGATAAAGTTTTAGACGTTTGAAAATTACCATATTGATGATTCTAGCACCTTAAAATCGACCGAACTAATCTAAAAAAATATGGAATTGAAAGATAATTGAGCAATGATTCTATTTATCGCCTATGGCAATCAAAAAATGCTTTTTTTTCTAATTTTCGAAAGAAATTCTGGTGGAGTATCTTCAATATATTTGATTTTCGTAAGGGATTCAGATTTTCCCTACAGATCTTGAATATTTGACCTAAACCGCGCAGAATCAAGATAAAATTCTTCAAAATATTCACTTTTGAAAAAGCTTGAAACATTTTTCGTACAACTATTTGAAGTGTGCCTAGAATTTATCTGAAGTTGAAGAAACCTTTCAACGAAAATAGGATGAAGTTGATACAATCCTACGCCACAGGCATCCAAAAAAACACGTTATTTATGATGAAAGTATGATTAAAGGAAGTCCTTATGTCATTCAGTTTAGGGAAATATAATAGAGATATTTAAATTCTATACTTCAAAAACTACAAACTATAAATCAGCATTCACAATGATGAATCATCATGTTCATTTTCCAATGAATACATTTCTAGCTCCATATCTCCATCGAAATATACTGATTTGGAAAAATAAAAATCAATTATTTATTGATTCCCAAAATATTCATCAGTAGATCATATCGCGAATAGTAGAATTTTACAAGGTTCATTCTCCAAATATCACATCAAAATCACAATCAGCACTCAATATCACAGTTAATTTTCCTGAATCTCAGATTACAGCTCACTCACCACAGTTAAAATAAACTGTTTCACATTCAAAGTGGAACAAGCAAAAAATGTCCTATAATTTTCGAATCATCCCAACTTTGGATGGTGTCAACGGATTTTTTATTTCTCTATGGATTACATGATTTTTTTTTTTCGTTTTTCCACCGTTTCTAATTTATGATCTCCAGGGATAAGTTTTAGGTAAAAAAATCATATAACTAAACATATAAAAAAAAAAAAAAGTTTGACCCCATCTGAAGATATGATCGAAAACTTTTGCATGTCCCACTTCAAATGTGGAGCAGTTTAGTTGAAATTCTATTTTATTCAATACTGTCTGAACATTTTTTGTGATTTTGTCTCTTCGTCTCTATAAATAAAAATATTAGTATTTTGTCAATATAATTATTGCAGTAAGGACAAATCAGATGATTTGCCCCAAAAACTGCGTTTAAAATTGAGAACCTAAAGGAGAAATTCAATCGATTGTCAATAATATATTGCTTGAAAAATGTATGAGGAAAAAGTATGTTTTTGTATGTGTATTTTACATATCTAAGGACGTATCGGAAAATCTGTTCCTGTTTTCAACATAGAAAATGGAAAATTTGTCTTGCAGTTGATTCGCCTACCGACACTTCTGAGTGACAGATTATGAATATGTGAGCTACAGGGTGATTTTAATTGATGTAGGATTCATTATTTTCATACCAAATTTCAAAAATATTTTGAAATAATATTAATATTCTTCCATAGAGACGAGAAGATAAAATACAGAAAAAATAAAGAAATATATTTCATTCGTTTACCGATTCTCTCGCAATCCAGTCATTCATATATTATACAATCCTTCTGGACTAGTATTACCTTATACATTCAAATTGAGGTAAAGACAATCTATAGCAGACACCGAGGTGAAAGGTACCTCAAATGGCTTACAAATCATTACTAATATAGAAAATCTTGCAACAAAAAATTATATACCTGCTCCAGTACCTCACGATTCTTCCTTTTCCTGGATTTCCTCTTCACTTTCACATCTTCGAAAATTTCCGTCTGATTGGTTAATCCGAGGCGCAGATGAATTGGTAATTTTCCATCTGAGAAATATATTTTTTTAATAATTCGACCTCGAATGATGATTCGAAAGATCAGAAAATGACCACGAACACAAAATATGTGAAATTTTTGTATAGTCAAAGAGACCACGAGACATCGTAAGCACGTGAGTGCCTTGACGGATTCGGCGTTTTTGTTTGGATACGGACACTCTGGCAAACAGTGACAGATAAACATAACCACAAAGGAACGGTTTGCCAATTTGTAAACGAATTTGGCGATCCAACGGGTTGCCTGCAAGAACTGTCAGATGACCGACCCTGGAGGTGAAACAGTGAAACACAACCTCACTTTTCTTATTTGTTTACCAGTGATTGGAATAGTTTTTCACGATTATTTTGGCATACGAATCGTGTTTTTCGGCTATTCATTAATTCGCGCATCCCATCACATTGTGCTGTTGTACAATGCACAAAAAATGCAGCGGTAGACGAAGGAATCCTGTTGGTACATTATGATTTAGAAGTAAGAACCTACTATAGTCACTAACATGTAGTTTTCATTTTGAAATTTGGTAATTTATCTGATTTCTCATCGGAATTCCTTCTGCAATAGGAGCTAATAGAAATACTCGTGAAATTTCTAGAATAATCCAAGAAGATTGGATTCTGACATGCTGACGAAATAATATGATCGTGTGTGTTGTAGAAATTTTCAATCAATTAGCAGTATTAGCTTCTATTGCAGAAGTGGTAGAAGGAATTTTAATAAGGAATGACAAAATTACATAATGAAAACTATGTGAGATTATTATTTACCTGAAAAATCATATTCCTTCGTCTCTCGCTGCATTTTTTGTGCATTATACAACAGCACAATGAGAAGGCATGCTTGAAATAATGAATAGCGCAAAAAACACGATTCGTATGCCAAAATATTGTGCAAAACTATTTCAATCCTTTGATACCTCTGTAAACGAATAAAAAAAGCGAGGTTTTGTTTCAATGTTTTGCAGAAAAGTGAGGTTGTGTTAGAATATTTTACCTCCAGGGTCGGTTATCGTATGTAAATAACACTGAAAAAATTCAAGGGCTGCTTCCTTGTGATATTTTAGGCAATAAAGTTTTTATAAACATGTGTCCTAACTTGCTTTGTTTTCGAGATACAGGGTATTGATATTTCTTGAAAAGGAATATTCTCAGATTCACACAAGAATGGATATACAGGGTGATCCATGGTGGATGGCCTATTGGAAGTATCTGGAGAATGAAAAGACAGAACATTCTGAAAATTGGGATGCATTGATAATTGAACAATCTCTATCCATCTAAAATATCTTCATCGATACAGTGTTGCCACTTCTATCAGAAACAACTAGCAACTTCGTTATTTTAAACGGAGCACCATGTATTTCATTGCATTTTTAGATTCTCTCTGAAGAGCTGATTTCATCAATTTATCACACTTGGGGCCTAGCAGGAATGATTACAGAGATATAGGGTGTTCAAAACGAGATTTTTCAATTTTAGGATTTTTTTGTGCCGAAACTATTCATTAACGATCAAAACGGCTCAAATGTCCCTATATTAACTTTCGATTCACTATCTACTGACATTTAATTGGAACAGATACATGGTGATCCGAATTCTGAATCTTGAAGCACCCTGTATTTTTTCCAATTAAATTCCAGTAGATAGTGAATCAAAAGTTAAGATAGGGACATGAAAGCCGTTTTGATCGATAATGAGTAGTTTGGACACAAAAAATCCTAAAATTGAAAAATCTCGATTTTGAACACCCTATATCTCTGTAACCATTCCTGCTATACCCCAAGTGTGATACATTGATGAAATCAGATCTTCAGGAATAATCTAGAAATGCAATAAAATACAGGGTGTTCTATTTGAAATAACAAACTTGCTAGTTGTTTCTGATAGAAGTGGCAACACTGTATCGATGAAAATATTTTAGACGGATAGAGAATGTTCAATTATCAAAGCATCCCAATTTTCAAAATGTTCTGTCTACTCGTTCTCCAGATACTTCTAATAGGCCATCCACCGTGGATCACCCTGTATATTTATATAAAGCAATATATTGAGAATCCTCATTCTCTATGTGATGAGAATATCAACTCTTTTTCAGTTTATTCAATAGAAAACAACTACTTTCCTGGCTATATGCCACGACGAACATTGAATTATTTCTATTGAACACACACGATAAGAGTTTGAAAATAAAATATAAAATCTTCTGAAATTGAGAATTTGCATTCTCCTTCAGACAAAAATATGTATATGCACACATCATTCTGAATATTCAACAGAAAACTGCTATTTGCCACGTCGAACATTGAATTATATCTGATGAACATCCAAAAGGGGAACATGAAAAATAAGAAATAAAATCCTCCGAAATTGAGAATTGACATTCTTTCTCAAATCGGATGAATAATATGATGTATAATGATATAGAAATATAACTTACCAATATATTCAGCATAGAAATGAAAATTGGAATATATAGGAGAAGTATACTGGCATAAATTCTGATCTTGATGAGCTTGAAAACTTCCAAAAATAATCATTCATATCACAGAGCACAATACCGTATCACTTCGAGTGAGACATCAAGGGTGCTCGAAAAACAAAACCCTTATTATTTACCCCGGTATCCAGGCCGGATGGGGACGGATTCTCCATAATAAGGGCTCTGGCTGTATGTCGTAAGACAAGAGGCCATATATTCAGAGAGAGAGAGGAGAAAAGTGAGGTTGTGTCATCTGACAGTTCTTGCACGCAACCCATAATAATCCAGGTTATCAAAACTACGAAAGATTAGAGATTATGATTGGGATATAAGTTGGTTTCTGAATTTTCGTGTAGTTTTGATATCCTGCATTATAATTCGCCATTGGATGAAAAATTTGTAAACAGGTGACTAGAATAATTATAATTGAACATTCTGCGCTCGCTTTTTTTCATAGGCATACGAGTAGCTACCTATTAATTAGGTTCACAGCTCTTTTATAGTCAATAAATCATGCTGCATATTGGTAAATAACGAATGTTGGTAAAATATCAACTAGTGTGTGACGAAATATTTTGTCAGCAAGGTTAATATGAAAATTCATGATATTAAAGATAGGAATAAGAAATATAGTAAAAAATTATAAAATATCTAAAGTCGAGGCTAATACTCAAAATATCGTATTAGTGTTAGTTATTTTTAGAAAGCACAAACATTCAATAATTCATATATGAAAAAATAAACAGGGTGGTCCATTTGAAAAATATAACTTTGGGTTATATCTAAATAATAACACTAATTTTGAAAATCTGACTACGCCACTGGATTCCACCTGAAAAACTGTATAAGTGACAGTTTTTACTTTTTCTATAAGTTTAAATATAGCTGAGATGAAGGTGTGGTCCCAAAATGCAACATTTTCAATTTCGCCCTGTATTTCAAAAACGAAACAGGCTATGAAAATGTTGTTTTCGGTTTCGTGAGTATCACAAAAAAGTAGCCAACTTTCGCGAAAAGCGCAAATATCTATCTTTAAAAATATTGAGATATCCCGTAAGGACATCGAAAATGGGACGACCTGAACATCTGGAATTTTGACTATTGGATTAAATAAGATGCTACCCTTTTGATCATTGGTAAACTTCTATTTATTGAAAAAAAAAATAGTTTGGTAAAACTGCATTTATCATGTGATGGTTTTTTTTTCGAAAAAATTTTTGGTACTAACGTATTTTTGTTTGAAAAACACGAATTTGATAATGAAAAACCACTATTTATCAAGATATTTCAAGAAAAAGTTCGAAATTTCGCCTTATTTTTCCCCTTGTGCTGAATGCATTTACAGCTACTTGCTCTTCTTATTTTGTCATTGGACACTTTATTTACTCATGATGTACTTCAACGACACATTTTTATATAGAAAATTCAACAGGAAATATGATTTTTATGGCGAGTTTTTCATATTTAGTGAACAAGCACACCAGATGACGACCATTTAATCAATAGTCAATCCAAAAGCGAGATGTTAAATGTCAACAGATTGCTTTTGAATGACATTACACAATTCATTATTTCAAATGATATTCTTCCTTATTTTCACTAAATATGCATAAATCACAAGAAAATCATATTTCTAGTTGACTCATATAATAGAAAAAAATGTGTTGTACATTGTGATATATATAAATTGTCCAATGATGAAAAAGGAAGGGCAAATTGTTCTAAATGCGATCCAGAAGACAGGCGGAAAAGGAGGTAAATTGTAACTTTATAGTGAAATATCTTAATAAATAATGGTTTGTTCACATTTTCATTATCAAATTCGTGATTTTCAGACAAAAATACGTAAGTACCAAAAAAATTATCGAAAAAAAACCCATCGCATGATAAATGCAGTTTTACCAATAGTTTTGAATTGGATTGAATGTTACCTGGTCTTCGATAGCCATTTCTCAGATCCATAAATTTTCTATATTTGTAAGGAGGCTTGCATAATTGTACTTTTCTTTTTGTACCAAGAGATACGAACAGATTTCTTGGGATACAATCAGCATGCAGCACATTTCTTACAGCAGCAAACTCTAAATAACGGAATAATATGACGTTTTACTTTTAAACTTTTGACGAAAAACAGTTCCATTTTTAGGTACCGAGTACCATTATCTAATCCGATTCAATAGGAAAACTTCTTGTTAGCGTGAAAAAAATGACAAAATATTCAGTGACAAATTTTGCTATTGCCTTCTTCAGGAAATTTGAGATAATACGACTCAGCAACATTTTCTACAAAATAATAGTGCTGCTTTCCATGATTATAATCTAGTGGAATAATTCACAATGATAAAGTGACAGTGAACAATTTTCTTGTTTCTCAAAAAAAAATTTTTACACGAACGATGTGAAGCGGAGTTCGGGCAAGCACCAAATAATTTAGCCAAATTGTTTGCTCTGTAACTTTTTCAATTCTGGTCCGATTTTGGTGAAATTCCGACCAAAGCGTAGATCCATGTTTCCAAATGTAAGCCCAAATATTAGTTCCTAAGAAAATCTGATGACTCGATCATCATACAGGAAAAAACGAAAGTTACGTTTTCACCCTCAACTTCTTAAACCCTGTGGGAAAGGTGAGTGGTTTAACTTAGCTTCATTATGTTTTAGATTGAAGAGTGATCTCTTCTCTACATTATGGTTCTTTATTCACGTCGATAACCATTTTTTAAAGGAAGATAGAAGTGTTTCAAGAGAGTATGAATTCTTTATTTACAATAATTCAGAACCATTCTCCATCCTTCTACTTCAATGCTTCATCATGTTTTAAATTGAAGTGTGATCCTCTTTTGTTCCTTCTTCATACAACGGTTCTTGAATAACGTCAATATCTCCTTTTTGAGAGAAGATAAGTGTTTCAAGAAAGTATAGATTTTTTTAATTTTCAATAACAATAATTCAGAACCTATCTACCTATCTTAGGGGTGACCTCTAGAGGCGCATTCGCCTTCGCCCAGCCTTGTCAGATACTCTTCAAGAGCAACAATTTGATCAATTCGATGTCACTTCGGTTGAATGCTGTAATTCAATAACGAGGAGAGCATACTCGTTATTGACTACAGGTCTGCTTCTTGTTTGTTTTTTTGTAATTGATTTTCCGGTAAGTGCTAAGAAAGTAAGGTAGAAATATGTGATATTAATCCTTGAAGTTGTTAATCAATAAGTTCATGTAAGTTCTGATTATTGGTAAAAAAAGGTTAAAAACGCCATACTTCCTTAAAACACTGGTATCTTCTTTTAAAAATAAGATATTGACGTGAATCAAAAACTTTTGTGTTAAGAGGACTTTAAAACGAAACCTGTATTTTTCTGATTCCGCTGACGGTATGAAGATGTCGACAGTGTCACATTATATTCAGTTGACCTATTGAACAAGGTCAATAGCGATCGTTAGTATTTTGTTAAGTTTTGGATCGATAGTGACGGTTAAACAATGCTGTGTTTCTAGTAATTTTGCAATGGGTGACTCAATGTAAGACATGTGGAGACTCGTTTATTATTTCGTAGTTTTGATTATTTTATTACGAATATCATAATTTACTCACTTTATATAATATTTGTGGTTATGTTTCACACATCTCGATCAATCCAGGGGCGTTCGAATAAACGACTCCTTTTAAAAGGATTATATGGTACTATACGGTTTTTTGCAGGTATTGGAAAAGGCCACTAACCATGACAAAGCACTTAGAGGAATTGAAGAATGACTCTACGCCGGACATTCCTACAGGCATTATAATTTTTCAACCCTAAATGCCAACGAAACTGCGATACCGGCTATATTCCGAATTCAACTGACAGTACTGAAGCTGCTGATTTTTCATTCCGAAATCAAAAAATTCACTGAAAGTGACAGATGCTTGTGAGCAGACATACTATTCATTCCAAATATTTCGACTCAACATTCTGCTGAAATTGCTGACTATCCAAAGGTAGTGTGGCTTCAGTGAACTGTCATTATTTTAGAGGGGGAAGGAAAGTAACATTCATTTCCGTTGTTAATAATATATTATTCTCAATATCAGAAAATACCTGTTATTGATATGATAAGCACTGAGAATAATATTGAGTATGAAGTAGTAGAGGTAACGAAAGAAGAAGCAGCATTGGCTGAATAAATAACTAAATAAACCTGAAATGTCTCCTAAATTCATCATCATTACGTTTTCTATAAATCTTTCAATTCTCAATCTCGTGCATCATTCGAAATTAATGGCAACAAAATGTCCAAGTATTCTTTATCACTCGAGCCTGAATCTGAATCGTCATCGTCAATAATCGTAGAAACTATGGAGGCTACAAGAATCGATTGCTCTTCCATGTTAAATATTAAATATTAAATATCTAGTCCAGATAAACGAGAAACTACAGACTGACAAATTTCACCAGCTGAACAACTGCTGCTGACTACTGATGAAAACCATGAAAACGTGTCCCGAATTACAGCACTGTATTTTTGATTTTATATTTCGGAACACAGATTTTCAGCAGATTCAGTAGATCTACTGACAGTACTGACCGTTGAATTCGGAATATAGCCACCGATGAAGATTCTGGGGCTGAAAACGATGTAGTTGCAAAAAATTTACCCGGAGTGCAACTAAGGGCTATTGCGTAAATTGAATTTGACGTGGAAGGTGATGACGACGGGAGAGTGACGACGATCTACGTGACGTGACTTTCGCTACATTTTTTATTCAAATTATTCTCTGAAAATGGGCTCATTTGATTCAAAAAAGTTTCAATTTGAAAATAAAAAAAGTTGGACACGTTTCCCGTAAAACGGGAAGTGATGGGAGAGTATAAAATATGATGGAAAAGTTTGAAATAAATAATGACAGCGTACGCAGCGCCCTCTAAATATTACATGAAAATTAATATGAAATCATAATTTTTCACGTCAAACCCGGGTACTAAATTTCGTGCAAATAACTTATCGTCAATGTTGCTACTACTTTCTACCCAGCGAGCACAAACATCCCTGGGATGTTTTGGGATGTTTTGAAAATGTTGGCATGAAGATGTTATTTTGAGATGTAATATGCACTGACCAAAGAGGTCTTTGAAGGATATTGAAGTATTGTTTTTGTTCTTCTGTGGCATTTCTTTGTTTGCCTACTGAGAGGTATCCCTGGGATGTTTTGGGATGTAGGCGTAATATGCACTTCCCAAAGAGGTCATAGAAGGATATTGAAAGTATTGTTTTTGTTCTTTTGTGCCCTTTCTTTGTTTGTCCCACCACAACGTCTCATGCTTACGTCACAATACGATGAATTCTGATTTGTTTTCGATTCTGTTCTTCTTGTTCGCAATTGGCATTCGCGTTTGCAGCATGTCACGCTTTATATCACGCTGCTAACGAACAGAAAGGAATTTGGTGAAGTTTATTGTGTTAGAAGACTTATTTACTTTGTAATAATGACCATCAGATGCAAGATGTATGTTGTTCGGTGCCTCAGTGTAATCAATATATAAAAGTACGAATTCATCAATACACAGCTTCTCTGCAGTTGCAAAATTATGCATTGTGGAGAACATTTCAAAAATTGGGAAACCTATTTCCAATTATATGTCTGTGTGTAGTAAGCACTATTCAGAATCCGATTAAGAAGGTGATTTTATATCAAGAAAATATTTGTATGTTCAATCTATTTTTAATGCATTTTTTCATTCAAGGGAAATGGAATCCTAATGCAAAAGTTCATTTTGACAGAAGGCTTCAGAAAAGTACCTTGAAAATGGTTTTTTTACAGCGATTCAATGTGCGCAAGACGCGTTGAAAATGTTTTGTTGTGTCCATGAAAAGGCTTTAAAAAGAACTAGGGAGAAGGTAGTTTTGTGACATATCAAGGACATCTCGATAATTGCCGCCTGCGGCGGACATTGGCTGTTCTATAATAGTTCTATTCATGTGTGAACAGAACATCGCAGTGGAGGTTCAATGTCTCGAAATCTCGTACTTTTAACATCTCTGAGATGTTTTTGTGCTCGCTGGGTAGTAGAAGCGGCAACACTGCATTGCATAAAATATTTTAAATGAAGAGAGCGTATTCTAAAATATAAGTATGCATATTTCCATGGATTTCTCCCGACTGATTCGCGATATAGAGATAGTGTAAGCTCGTCGTGACATATCCTGTATATCATTACTCTTCAAATCCACTGAAGACTGCAACATACATATTCATCATTCAACATTTTTCTGAATATTTTCTCCAATTTCTTTCTTCCTTTTTGCTTTGAAAGTGTGAAAAAGTGTTCAGCTAGATTATTACAATCAATACTCCCTACAAACCTTACGGCAATGGGATACTCACCATTATCAGTAATATTTTTATCTTTGGATTTTTTCTTTGTCTTCCTGTAAACGGCCCCCTGCAAAGCGAACTGTAGTATCCGGGAAGATACCTCCTCGGCTGGTATTTTGTGAAGTTTTTCGGCCCTTTTCCTGCTGAGTTGAGCTCTAAGATCACCTGCGACAAAAATAAAATCCAATCACTGAAGGAGAAATGCTCGAAATCAACCTGATATCAATGCAAAATTCGCGAAAATCACGAACCAATAGATGGCTCTATTTAACGTCAAATCAACGTCAAATTTCAAACTGAGTATGAACAACAAAAACATTGCCGTATGCACTCATTGCAAATTGGTTATTTCCAAATCATTTTGCAAAATAGTGAATAATGAGTTCAATTCAATTCAATTCAATTTATTCAGAAAATAAAATGTACAGATGATATTGATAACATATTACAAATTTTGGTGTTCCTTTTGGATCATAAGACTGCACCTAAGCATGCTGCATGCTTGTGTTGTACTAGTCTTTAATCCGCAAGAATCATTCTAATTGTACCACTTTCATATTTGGCGATTGTAGTATAATTAGCGAATATATTAGGTTATTTGCTTAGAATTTTGATGAATGAAATACATATTTGTGAGATTTGGTGAGTACTAAAAGAGAATCAATTAATGTAATGTATTGTAGATTAGAGTTGAATTTATTTGGACGAAGTTTTTAATTTGTTTTTTGTGTTTATTGAAATTTGTTATTGTTTTCATTTCGGGTGGTAAGAGATTATATAGTTTAGGTCCGAAATAGTAGATATACCTTTGAGTGTGGCTTTTTCTGTATAATGGTGTATTGAGGGTGAGATTTTGCATTGCTCTGGTATTTTTTTTTATGACCTCCAATGGCTGATTGAAACGATTTGCATTTTGAAACATCCATTCTAGGCATTGATAGGCATATAGGCTTCTAACATCAAGTATATCTAGTTGTTCATATAACTGTACAGTTGAATGAAGTCTGGAGTTGACTTCGTGAAATACGTACAAGGTTTCCAGTATGGAAAAAATTACTTTTTGTGCAGAGAAATTGCCATTTTGATGTGGACAATGGTGGTATTCATCATTGATATCACACTACAATCCCACAGTTATCAAACATATGAAATGATCGGAATGGTCCACTCAACACTTGCATGGACTGGAATGGAACCATACAAGCAATCAGCTATTACAACAATATGGTATAGGTATGAAGAAATAATTGAATTCATCAAGAAATATCACTGGCTTTTATGAAGAAGATGGAATTCTAGTGAAGGGGTTGGGAAAGAAGATATGGTTGGAGAGGCTGCTCAGAATGAACAATATCATCGATTTACATAAACAAGGATCTCCAGCAATTGAGGACTTGAAGTTATTCTCAAGATCGAATCATTGCAACCAACATTTATACAATGATTCTAATTGTGCTTCAGAAAATGTATATTATATTATTATAAGGTAGGTACTGGTTTCTTCATTGTAAACAATAAAAGTTCATGCAATAATTCGAGTTTTTTCATCAGGGAGAAATGAGGTTCTGGAATATGGACTTCAACGAATAAATTATTTTCAAATAAAACACATATTCATGAAATTCAAAACAATGGTCGCCATATTTGTTGTTCATACTCACAAGACTTGTACAATTAGCCACCAGAGGCCGCACACTTCGTGATTTTCGCGAATAGGAAACATCAGCTGCAGATTCCTTCGCCAAAATTAAGAGAGGTTTAGGTAACATTTTTCAAATTATCTCTATAACTGGTAAGTTGAATTTTTCAGAAGGGGTATCCCAAGAATTTATCATCGAATATCAATCTCCATAAAGCAAAATATTAAGTGCATCTATTCAAAAGTATCTTCAGCTGGGGTTGTGTGTCATATACAGGGTGTACCTAAATAACGCTGACAAAATTTAAGGAGTGATTCCTTGTGATATTCTAGCAAATAACACCTACATCAAATGAGTCAAAGAGAATTTTTATTGTTTCCTCAAAAACTAAGCTAGATACAAAAATCACACAGACGATAAAAAAGTTGTTATTTCTATAGTTCAATATAATAATAGTAGATTGTTTTATTGGGATCAAAAGTGAAACTTTTGCTTTCGCTCGGCTTCGCTAAACGCTCTGCCTCGCAAATACAAAATTCGCTTGTCAAACAAAATCACTTTTGATCCGATTGAAACATGCCATTTTTTCTGCAACCGAATCAATTAACTCAAATAAATATGTGAAGTGCCGTGCCATATCTATGCAATGCAACAAATATTGACAAATAATCCGTGTGGTGAGAACATTTTACCTGCATTAAAATCAGGTTCATTCAATTCTCAAGCATGTTTGAATTGTAGTTTCAATATAAATACAACCACAGAGTGACATATTTGTGTATGGACCAGGTGCTCTAATGACAAATGCCGCGCCAGTGCCAGCTATAGGAACAAGACGTGGAAAATGTTAGGTTAGTGAGCATATCAACAATAATAATAGCGATTATTTATTCCTCTCCATAATACAATGTTGTTGGCTTGATAATCAAATGAAGGTAAACAATATCGTTGTTTGAGACAAAAAAACTATTGCTTGCCGTGATTATTCAAAAACAAGTTATCCATCCCGAGAATAACAAATGGAATACAGATCAAGCAAGTACTTGAATCTTGAAGGCTGCCCTGATCAAAACAAAAATACTTAACTGAGATGTTTATAATTCCAATACTTAACTATAATAATGTGTATTTATATCTCCAGCATGGGTATGAAATGCCAAATCTGCCAAAATCGGAAACAAATCAGGTATTCGTCTCAACACAAATAACCAAATATATATAACAATGTCCTTTATTCTTGATGACGTCCAGTACATCCTTTATAGTTCCTAGAACCTAAGTTCGACTTTAGCTCTCAGGAACCAAAGTTCAACTTTAGCTCCTAGGAACTAAATATGTTGCCTAGCAACATACCTATTTTTGTGTCAGTAATAGAAACGTCAATTTAAGAGCTAATTTTGGTATCAAAATGGACGACTTTTGTGTCTATTGCAGAAAAACTTTATTTCCTAAAATATCACAAGGAATCACCCCTTGAATTTTTTCGGTGTTGTTTAGGTACACCCTGTATAACTATACCAAATTTCAGGATAATCCGTTTACGAATGCAGATTTACAGGGTGGGGGTGGCCCGATACCCGGTATATCCCTATATCCCCTAAGATGTTTCTTGGGGTAAAGAACAACAACATATCTTTACCCTTCCCTAAGTGATCATTTTTGATCCCCAAGGTCCAAATATCACGTGAAAAAATATCCTCCAAATATTTAGTTAATTTGAATTCGAGATATTTTGATTGAATGATATAAAACTGTTTCAAATTGCCAACAAACCATCCTTTATTATAGGGAAAGAATCTGCGAATATTTCAACCTCCAATATAGTAACAAACTGAAAAATTTACTACGAAATCGCCACAATGCTCAAAGTGGAATGAAATGTTAAATAGATACAAAAAGCTCTCAAAGTCATTTCCATACAATGTTCATAAAACGAACAACAATGGTAGATTTAGAATTAGCCAGGCCACGCTAGACACCTACAGACCAGTTTCGAGCTCTTTGACTCTCATCAGTGCAGGACAGTCTCCAGCCAGCAGTCTCACGACCGCGTACTAAGCGTAGCCTAGCCAAACAAAAATCAAGTCGGCATTCTATCCCCTCAGAGGCGTCTTCCATAGACAATATGAGAGCAACGCCATCTGAGTAGAAAGGAAGGAAAGAAACACCCCAAAACCGAAATTCGCGAATTTGTCTAGCGTGGCTTAGCTAAATCGAAATCAATAGGTATTCAGGAAAGAATCACTTGTATCAGCATTTGTTTACATGAGTCGATGCAGTTGTTTTTCTCCCGAAATCTACCATTGTTGTTCATTTTATGAACATTGTGTGGAAATGACTTTGAGTTTTCATATTTATTTGAACCAAATAATAATTCAAATAATAACCTTCATTGACAGCAAGGTTGTCTTCATCCATGACTTCTTCAACATTGTCAGGGCCGACTTCATCAACTTCATCTTCATCCTTCAACTCCACTACAGCCTCCTCTTCCTTCTCACTTTCGATAACCTTCTCAGCCTTCAGACCCTTGTCTTCGCCCTTCGATATCCTCTCTTTGCCACTCTTCTCATATTTAGAAGGATTCTTGATTTTTATTTCGATTTTCCTCTCGAATCTTTTGTCCATCGAAGGAGGCGGTCTCTCTTTCCTCAAAGATATCCTCTGTTTGGCAGACGATTTCTCTTGAGTTTCCACTTTCTTCTGGGCCTCCTTTTCTTCGTCCTTTCTATCCCTCCCAGCCTCTTTCCTTTCTCTACCTTCGTTTCTACGGGATGCAAGTCTTCTATCTGTCGGAGTTCTACGTTTTCTTTCGTTATACCGGCTGCTGCTATGTCTGTCTCTACTTCTTTCCCCTCTCGATTGCAACGGTTCAGTTTTGACCTCCGCTTTAGCGCCGTTCATCAGTTTGGAGAAAGACAGAACTGATACCTTCTCTCCAGCTTTTTGCTTCACTTTAAACCGTCCCTCGTTGTCGCTGGTGGACTCTTCGTCGGAAAAGATATCTTCGACTTTGTGATCTATAAAGTCGTCACTTTCCAGCAACAAATCTTCGTTGAGCAGCTTCTCCAGCTCCTTGAACTCATCCGGATCCTTGTTCGTGTCATCTATTGGTTTTGCTTCATCGACTTCTGTGCTTGCAGGTGTCGGTGTTTGTGTTTCTTCTTTTACAGCTGAAGGTAGCTCTTGCATAGGGGCACTTTCCGGCTGTTTCTCCTCTTTCGGTTTCAACCTGATAATCCCAGCTTTCTTCCCAAGCTGATTCGACTCAAACTTCCTCTTCCTAGCCTCCAACACCGGGTCCAACGAAGCTTCTTCCTTCGGCTGCTTCACTGGAAGTTTCTCTTTCTCTTTATCTCTGACAGCATCTTTAACTTTACCATCATCTTTACCTTTACTATCATCTTTAACTTTATTATCCTCCGACTTGCCGGGCCTATTGCGACCCGAGTTCTTGCTCTTAGGAGAACTATCCTTTCTCGCGACGTTTCTTCTTCTAGGCGAAAGGGACCTTCTTCTAGGAGAAAACCTCCTGGGAGACCTTGACAATCTCCTAGGCGATATCGACCTCCGTATGGGCCTTCTGGGCGGAGTCAGCGACCGTCTGGGGCTGCGCGACAGGCTGCGCGAGAAGCTTCTAGAGTAGGACCTGCGCGGAGACCTCTTGCGCTTCTCAATGATGGCCTTGTTCTGCAAGACGAAGGCGGCGCTCCTGGGGGAGAGCGGAGCTAGAGTGGCGGTGGTGAGCGATTCCGTGTTGATGCTCAAGGGCGAAATTGGTCTTTCGTAAAACGGGGGCGGTTGATTGACGAGCGGAGGGTACATTTGGTTGAACGGGGGGTACATGTGAGGCGGTTGGAACGGGTTGATGTCCAGATGCGGTAGGTGGCGCGAGTTGGGGTAGTTTGGGGCCCTTCTAGGGCGGAAGTTAGTACGTCTGGTGAAAGGCGACCGCGACCTTTGGCGTTTCTTGTGGATGTTGTCCGTTCTGGTAGGGGCATTTTCTGCTGCAGCTTCAACGTTGTTGTCATGTTCATTGGGTACTGTTGCTTCTTCGTTTTCCGTTGGTTTGTCAGCGTCTTGTTTGACTAGTTCAGTACTCTTGTCGGACTGTTCGTTGTCAGTTTTCGAGTCGGTGTTCTTGTGGTCAGAGTCTGACGTTAGCCTCTTTTTCTTTTTGGTTTTCTTCTTCGGTTTCTCGCCGTTTGCTTGCTTTTCTTCTTTCGCTTTCGGTTTTCCTTGAATTTCGTCATCCAATTCTTGCATAAGGGCCTCTAAGCTATCCGCCCTTTCTAACTTTCCTGGGGACGCTTCTTCCGACTCTGATTCTTCTTCTTCCTCTTCCGATTCGGTGTCTGATTTGTCCGAGTTATCGTATCGATTGAATTTACTTGTGCCCTCTGTTACATTATCTTGCTTTTCAGCGTACCTATTCGAATGGGTCGGATTGGTTGCCCTGTTTGCAAACGGTTTTTCTTTGATATCTGTTTCGTCCGACACCGGAGTGATTGCTATGAGATTCGTGTTGCGGGGTCGGTTGAAATGTCCCTGAAACTATATGGAAACATGCATGGTTCAGCAGTGATGGGCATTGAATTTTGAAGAAATAAGCATACAATTTCCAACTGAGAGTATTAAGAACACTTGGTAGGAAATGAACCTTTGCTACCATGATACATACAGTGCTTTTCGTCAATGTCTCCCCTCTCCCTTTTATTTTTTGAACGGGTCAACTGAAAAAATTTAAACTTGGGAAAATGTAATTACGGTTTCAACTGAAGCAGTATAACTTTAGCACAAATAGTATCAACTTAATGTAATCTTACCTAGCTGACAGGCTACAATATGTCTCACATATAACGGTTATGTGTCTAGTAAAGTCTAGATGAAACATGGGGTGCCCAAAGGCTCAATCTTGGGCCCCTTCTATTTTCCTAATGTATGTAAATCATCCATCCCATCATATTATCAATAGGAAAGTCATACTTTTTGCAGACGATACCACAATAATCAGTTCATCAAACAACCTGGATACTCTTAGAGCTAATGTGAAAACCCAGAATGAGATAATTCAAAACTGGTTTACAGCCAACAAGTTGACATTGAACGACGACAAAACTCCATAGCTGATTTTAACCTTACGTCACTATGAACAACCCCAGCAGATCCAGTAAAATTCTTAGGTGTTTATATTGACCCTCTTCTGACATGGTACTTGATAATGTATATATCGCACAATAGTTTGTAGGGCAAGAATCAACCTCACAGGCGCCCTTCTTTGAAATTTCGAAATAAAAAATCATAACTTTTACAAAATACACGTGGATGGGAGTTGTTTCTATGGATGTGTTCCTCTAATGGTACTTGATAATGTGTATATCTCACAATATTTTTTCAGGCCAGAATTAACCCAACAGACCCCCTTCTTAGGAATTCCGAGAAAAAAATCACTTTTTCGAGATACACGTGGATGGGAGTTTTATTCTATGAATGTGTTCCTCTAATGGTACTTGATAATGTGTACTAGATGTTTAGAGGAACACATTCATATAAAAAAACTTCCAGGAAAAATTTGAATAGTTAGTAAATTGGGCGTCCTGATTCCAAATCTGAAGTGATTTTCGACCTATTTTGACTCCTGATATCATTTTCCGGAAATTGGGGTAGTTTCATGGCTGTTGGCGAGCAGTGTATATCACTGAAGATGACCCCACTTGGTCATAGAGTGCATTTTTGGTATATCTCTCGCTCCAGCAAATTTCAGGATCCTTACCCAACGATTACGTAAGATACAGGGGTGGTTCCATTTTAAATGGGTCACACTGTATGTAAAAAAATATTTTTTGCCTTTTCAAAACAGATATTTGTATTCGGGGCGAAACTTCGATGAACGATATTTCAGCAACGTCTCCATGTTATCGGCTGAAATTCATCAGCAACTTACCTCTACAGACAGTCCATGAGATGGCCTACAATGGAAAAAAATCGAGTGCCGGACTTGGGAAATTCATTTTCTTTATTATGTCATAATTTCGACTTTCTGGAACGTATTTTTGAAAAACTCTCATCAGAATCAGAAAGATCAGGAGAAACACTACGAGTGTAGCTTCTCATTTTCTACGGTACACTTCGACCAAATACGGCAGTTTGCATCATCTAACGTAGGGTGTTAGGTGAAGATGACATAATTATCATATTATATAATATACAGGGTGTCCCTAGACCAGTGGGACAGTTAAATATCTTCTGAACCAATAGGAATTTTCAAAATATTATAATTTCACATCATATCGCATTAGGAGTGCTAACTTCAGGCATGACTATATTTTATACGAGGGGCGCAAGAAAGGCTTACAAAACCGAACATCATTTTTTTCAAATGGAACACACTGTATTTCATAGCATTTTCATATTCTCCTTGAAGAGCAGAATTCAACGACCTAGCACACTTGAGGTCTAGCGGGAATGATTTCCGAGATATAGTGTGTGGAAAATCGGGATTTTTCATTTTTGGGAATTTTTTGTGTCAAAACTATTCATTATTGGTCAAAACGGCTTACATGTCTATATCTCAACTTATGATTCACTATTTACTCGTATTTAATTGAAACAAATACAGGGTGGTGTAGAATTCTGACTGAAACTGAGAATTCTACACCACCCTGTATTTGTTTCAATTAAATACGAGTAAATAGTAAATCAAAAGTTGAGATATGAACATGTAATAATAATAATAATAATATAATACATGTAAGCCGTTTTGACCAATAGTGAATATTTTTGACTAAAAAATTCCCAAAAATGAAAAATCTCGATTTTCCACACCCTATATCTCGGAAATCATTCCCGCTAGACCCCAAGTGTTCTAGGTCGTTGAATTCAGCTCTTGAAGGAGAATATGAAAATGCAATGGAATACAGGGTGTTGCATTTGAAAAAATTGATGTTCGATTTTGTGAGCCTTTCTTGCGCACCTCGTATAAAATATAGTCATTCCTGAAGTTAGCCCTCATAATGCGATATGATGTGAAATTATAATATTTTGAAAATTCCTATAGGTTCAGGAGATATTCAACTGTCCCACTGGTCTAGGGACACCCTGTATATAATATTAATGGTGGATTGATATGGAAAGATATTGTTTTGCTGATTATTAAAATAATAACAAATAGTCAGGGAGCACTAGAAGCGACAGTTGGAGAAAATATACTAGATACGCAGGTTAAATCTTCTTTATTTCTAGTATATTTACATACCTACATGTGATAATTTTTGAAATAACATCTGCGATAATACAGGGATCGGCATAAGTCAGGCAACGCTCTCGAAATTTCGACATATGTCCGGCAACGCTCATAAGTCTGGCAGGATGGAGCTCCGCCGCTTCATTTTGGAGAATGGATAGGCAGACGAGGATTCATTGAGTGGCCCGCACGATAATATGTGACCTAACACCCTGTGATTTTTTTCTGTGGGGCCTTCTCAAGGACCACGTTTTCGCAACAGGGCCACGCACCCTTCCCGACCTCCGAACCGCAATTGAAGAAGAATTTGAAACTCTTCGCAGACAGCTTCAAATGCTTCGCCGGACCTGCCTCTCCGTTGGGGAACGTTGCCGTAAATGCATCGATCAGGATGGGCATCAATTTGAACACTTACAGTAACCCTTTTTCGAATATCTTTTGTATTTTTTTAATAAATATATTTTGACGCTGCATTTATTTATCTTAATGCAAATTGGTTGCCTGATGCAAATTGGTTGCCTGACTTATGCCGCCCCTGTATTATTATGATGGATCTCTGAATTTAGGCAACAACAAAGACAGCAAGGAAAACCTACAAGTGATCTACTACAAGTGAAAACCCATTCGAGTTACTAGTTGGATGAGAAAGCGGGGCGATATTATTTTCTTGTTTTCTGAAACATTTTAACAAAAAAAAAAAAAACTTTTGATAACTGACAAACGTTTCACGCATATTTAGCCACAGAACATCAGCATTCTGTTACCAACATTCATCAAACCCATTTATATCCATGTCCCTAGATTTTCTCTAACAACATCGATACTGAATCATCAACTAGGGTTTATCGTTCATAATGTCGTTGGCCAATATATCGTTGACGTAACGATATCGGATTCTAACGTTGAGTTACTAAGACTCCTTAGTAATAAACGACCATTGGTGGTGGGCGTGTAAACCTTAGTAGAACTTTTGACTCAAACTATGTTTAATTGTTTATAATGATCCTTTTATACATAAATAATGATTGACGACATAATTCGATCGAAAAATTAACTGGAATGTTTCATTTTTGGACACAAATAATAGTACCTTCTGAAAACGTACCCTCTTATGACGTTGAAACCTCATCTCGCCATAGTTAAAACTAAATACCAAACGCCCGACGGAGACTGAGGCAACTGATATATTAATTCTTTCATCTGTGATTTCGCGCTAATTCACTCTGTCGGAAATCATGTATCATTCATCTCTGTCTGGAATAGTTCGTTTCAGTATTAGGGTTTTGACGTCACATCATCGTTTCGTTTTCAGAGGTCCGAAAAATCGGGGATTTCAATAATTTTTTATGAAATGTCGGGAGCTCACAGCAAGAAACGGTTTGCGGTGGTGAGATAGTTTGGGTGAGTTCTATCGAATTATGGAATAAATTTTTTTTGTGATATAAGCCCAATGGGCGTGTACACCTTAGTAGAACTTTTAACTCAAACCATGTGTATAATGATCCTTTCATACATAAATAATGATTGACGACATAATTCGATCGAAAAATTAACTGGAATGTTTTATTTTTGGACATAAATAATAGTACCTTCTGAAAACAGACCCTCTTATGACGTAGAAACCTCATATCGCCATAGTTAAAAGAAAATACCAAACGCCCGACGGAGACTGAGGCAACTGATATATCAATTATTTCAACTGTGATCTCGCGCTAATTCACTCTGTCAGAAATCATGTATCATTCATCTCTGTCTGGAATAGTCTTGTTTCAGTATTAGGGTTTTGACATCACATCATCGCCTCGTTTTCAGAGGTCCGAGAAAAATCGGGGATTTCAATAATTTTTAATGAAACGTCGGGAGCTCACAGCAAGAAACGGTTTGCGGTGGTGAGCTAGTTTGGGTGAGTTCTATCGAATTATGGAATAAAATTTTTTTGTGATATAAACCCAATGGGCGTGTACACCTTAGTAGAACTTTCAACTCAAACCATGTGTATAATGATCCTTTCATACATAAATAATGATTGACGACATAATTCGATCGAAGAATTAACTGGAATATTTTATTTTTGGACATAAATAATAGTACCTTCTGAAAACGGACCCTCTTATGACGTAGAAACCTCATCTCGCCATAGTTAAAAGAAAATACCAAACGCCCGACGGAGACTGAGGCAACTGATATATTAATTCTTTCAACTGTGATCTCGCGCTAATTCACTCTGTCAGAAATCATGTATCATTCATCTCTGTCTGGAATAGTCTAGTTTCAGTATTAGGGTTTTGACGTCACATCATCGTTTCGTTTTCAGAGGTCCAAAAAATCGGGGATTTCAATAATTTTTTATGAAACGTCGGGAGCTCACAGCAAGAAACGGTTTGCGGTGGTGAGCTAGTTTGGGTGAGTTCTATGAAATTATGAAATACATTTTTTTTGTAATATAAGCCCACTCTGAAGATAGCAATTTGAAATTTTATGTGCTCATTACTTTCTAGAAGATCATCATATGAAGTATTTCAGAGATTTTTAAAATCCACAGGGTGACAAGTTTTTGAGGGTAGAGGCTGCTTCATTCCCCCCCCCCCAAACTTTGTGTAGAAAGTTTTAACCACACGAAATTGGAAATTGATATCTTCAAAAGTGAGCGAGGTATTTTGATTAATAGAAAACGATAATTGAACTTTGACCCCCTGTAGATCCGCTACTGATCAAGATCGGAACCATGTTAATATAAACTTCTTCAATTGAAATGATGAGATCTATAACGCATTTCAGTTTGTACCTCAAAACCGGAATCACCCTGTATATCGATATACAGGGTGATTCCGCTACTGATCAAGATCGGAACCATGTTAATATAAACTTCTTCAATTGAAATGATGAGATCTATAACGCATTTCAGTTTGTACCTCAAAACCGGAATCACCCTGTATATCGATATACAGGGTGAGTCATTGAAATGGGAAAGTGAGATAACGGCTTCGTTGTTTGAGATAGATGAACAAACATTTTCCTGATAGTCTAGGTTCATGAGCAGAACATTTCCAAAATATTTCGCGTTATACAGGGTGACTCGAAAATGCGTGGAAAAATCTCGATTTTGAACACCCTATATCTCTGAAACCATTCCCGCTAGATCCCGAGTGCGATGTATTGATGGAATCAGCTCACAAAGACGAATCCGAAAATGCAATAAAATACAGGGTATCCTATAATAAAAAGTATAACTGTGATACGCCACGCATAATTTGAGTCACCCTGTATACGCAAAGTAATTTAGAAATATGCTGCTCATGAGCCTAGCTTTCCCATTTCAATGACTCACCGTGTATTGATATTTTTGCACAACCCTAGTTAACATTTAATTTTTTTCGCAGCACACTTTTGAATGAGCTTTTGAATCACATACCTTGTAAAAATATCTGACAATAAATAAAATACAGGCGTTAATGCCAGTGACACTTATTGTCATTGTCTTGTCAACTGAGCACTTATTTTTTATTTCAACTAATTTTGTCCTGAAGACAACTTTTCATATATCATTGTATTCAGAAAAACAAACTCAAACAGAAAAAGAAGAAAAAAAAATAAAAAAGTAGAGTCACTGACATCACAATTCAATGAGGGCTACTGAAACTTGAGGTCAGTATCAGAGTCTGAAATCCCTAAATTTTGTTTAATAGAAAATATTAGAAAAAAATTATGTAGAATATTTGAGCAAATAGAAAACCTCAAGATATCAAAAAACTTTAGCCGTTTTTTTACTCTTAATGTGGAACTTTATGACCAATTCTTTCATTAAGGAAGAAGAAGATATTGTGAAAAGAAACCAAATGTGATGCATTTTGGTGGACAATAAATAATGCTGGTAGTCATTTTGAAATAGTAATCATCAGAGCCTACTAATATAGTAAATGAGTAATTTCATTTGTTTTATTCTTGGTTTTACTGCTCTTCAAAATTGAACTGTATAGCGGCACTTTGGATTTGAGCGCTTTTTGTGAGATTTTTTGTCTGTATTCCTTAGAACAAGTTGAATTCTGCCAAGAGTTTGGGAAAATCAAAGCTACCTGTTTCAAAATACTTGTCTTAAGGGGGCATATGAATTTTTCAGATCAATATCTATTAATTAGGCAATTTATACATATGCCATACTATTAGTTACCTAAATTAGATTGAAAGAATAGGGGTCTTTATTGGTTTCACAATTAACAAATTGATGAGGTGAAAAGTTTAGAACTAACAGGGATAAGGGGAAAAATATAAAATCTGTGTCATTCTGAACCATTCTGTTGGAATCAGGAATTGAACATATTTTTTTAGTGGTAAAATAAATGATCAAAGTGAATTAATACAAAAATTAGTATAATACATGTAATTCTAAACCATGCTAACCATATTAAAAATATTGAAGATGATAAATTGTCTTTAATGATTGAATGAAATGGCCATCTAAAAAGGTCCTTCAGCCAAGTGTTAAGTATTATTTCATGGAACTATCCAAGTAAAACTGATTTGTAGAATATCTTCAATGTATGCATTTACCTGGTTACAAGACCTTGAAAGAGACTGAATGTAAGGTCTGCAGATAAAATAAAAAAAGAACATTAAGCTGCTTAAATGAATCCACTGAAATGCTTTTCCAATTATTATTTGAATCTCAATTAGAAAGCAATTTCTGATTAAAAAAAAAAACATTAGCATAGTCAAGTACTACTATTGAAATAATACAAATGATGTGAAGGTTCATTAAAAAAAGAAGTGTATAGGCTACCCACCAGTCAGCAAACTATACATTTTCTCTAGACTGCCGACCATTCAGTGGAATACATTCTTTCCCTGTAAAATCAATCAGCAACCCAAGAAAAAAGTATAATATGCTGGTCGGCAGTCTATACTTTTTTGTTAGTATGCTAACCAGTCAGCAGACTATATTCAGTGGAATACATTCTTAATGTATAACAAAGAGATCCAAGTTGATTAGTAGCTCATATTGGTTTGTCAATCCTGTGGTCCCCTGTTCAAATCCCACATGGAATAGTTTTTGTTTTCTTAAATTTTCTTGCATCTGTTTGGGTTAGGTCTACATCACTATTTTTTTATATTCCTTTTTTTATAATATAGTTTTTCCTTCCTCAATTGATGTTAGTTTACAAGAATTTTTTGATCAGGTTTTTATTCCACCAATAGGCTACTGTGTTTGTGTAAGTATATCTCATTTTTTCAGGAGTTTTTTTTTTAAATCATGTTTTTGCTTCCTTAATTCATAATTTTAGTCTATACACTTCCTTAAAAAACAACATAGGTACTTTATTGAATAGGAAATATTTGAAGCCAACTATACCTGACTTTACTTCACATTCATCATGGGTAGGTATGTTGTAATTATAGCTTGTATCTCCTTGTTTGCTGTCACTCAAGATAATGGGAATTTTAAGACTATGAATATTTCTGATTTGGTGAAATGAAAATGTACCAATGAAATTATAAATGTTTAACACAAGCACTATATTTCCGAATAAGACAATAAATTTCAAACAAATAGGTACTTACATTCTTTCCTCCTCTGCCTGGATGAGGTCCAAATGTCCTCCTTCTTTTATTTCTCCCATACTGGTTATGTTTGTCAGGGCTGTTTCCCTTTAGATGAATGTTGGTGGAACTATCAGCTGCAGCATTTTTCCTTTTCAATGTTTCTAGCGCTTTTAAACGCAATAATTCCAAATCGTCTTCGTCGTCAGAGGCACAAACCTTAAAAAATCGAATCAATATTACTCCTTCTCATGATAATGAAAAAATAAACATACCTTAGGAAAATTGTTCATTTTATGGGTTTCACTAGTGCCGTCCTCTTCACGTGTGAATGCAAGAATTAATTTTATGAACCTTATCTGGCTACTTTCCAGATCCCAATAAATATTAGAAACATGAATCAACCACCATTATTCCTTATTCCATTCATTTAACATTTTTGTATTTTTCAGCTTTTGTAAAAATGGCTGACCAAAATCAAAAAATAATGACAGAATTGACAGACTGAAGCTTGACACAAGCAGGTCTCTGTCAATGACGGCTAAATATCTAGACTATCTGACGGGTCCCGTCCACAGAACTAAAAAACTGTTTTAATCATATATCTACTACTCATATATGAGGCATAGCTGTCCTCGAAGCGGGACGAACTTCTGTCTCTATATGCCGACGTAGGGAAAAAAATAATACGAAACTTGACAAACCAATATCGTTATGTGTCGTTGTCGTTATCAATCAACGCCAATATGGCTGTTTCCATCCTACACTTTCCGTCCTCATAGATTTAATAAGTATATCTCATTTTGGTCCCATATTTGTTGAGATATTGTATAGGCGATGGGCCATATATAGAAATAGTAGATATAAGGGGTGATCAGCCTCCTGTCTGTGCACAGCAGCATTAGCGCTGACAGCATAACATACAGGGTGTCCTCGAAATGTTTGTTCAAAATCTTAGCACATAGTCGAGTTCAAATTATGCCGATTTTAAATGCCAATTTAAAATAATTTGAAAATAGTAATCTGCATCAAGCACACTATCCTAATAAGTATTTTTTTAAATCCATTTTTTTCACTGCTCATTCACTAAAGATAACAGCAAACATCTCTTATTCAAATTCAAGATAATTTAAATATTCCGGTGTGGCATCAAACAATAATAACCGCAGTATCTCGAAGTCTCAATTCAGTGAGTTTTCACAATTTTTTGCTTGCAAATATTCAGAAAAACATTTCCTCAACAAAAAAAGTGAAAAACTACACAGAGAAAGATGTTATGGCCATAGTGAAAATGTGTCCATATTCGGGTTTCACATCCCAAAAAGCCCTTGAATGCCAATATTTGAAGTGATACTTTTAAAAATGTTGATACAGTTCGAAAAATTTGATTTTCATTTTTCAACTTTACTACCTTGTATCTCGGAAATGGAGCAGTTTCGGACTAAAGGTAAGTTATTTCAATACTGGGGTTATGCTGATCTCAGGAATGTGGTGAGATTTTGTACAGACCTTTCAAGGACACCCTGTATAACATAGTTAGGAGAATACTTGAAAAAAGAAATGAAACTAAAAATCAAAGGAGATTAAGGAGAATAACTATTTCATTAGCATATAAAATGTATAATTAAAGTTAGGTGATCAAAAATAAACATATTGTACAAAATATCAGATTTCACCACTTTATATCAATAAAAGTTATGAGAATAAAATCCCAGCACCACAAAATCAACTGCATTATGAAAAATCACTTGGTTGCTTTATTTTTTAGTGACTGTATGTAGTGACCAAGTGACTCTTGAGCATTAGGTTGGGTGACTACCTGAAGAAACATGTTCAAATCATCCTCTCTATTCTTCACCAAGCTTTCCACAGTTTTATTCCTCAACCACGTTTTTGTCAGTGATCTGGCTTGAAATGGAATTTTAGCAAATTTTTGAATGAAAGCTTCTGCTTGTGTGGTACCTTCTGCTTTGTTTTGAACAATTTCATCAATCAACCCCACATTTTTTGCTTCTTCTGTGGTGAACATGTGCCCTAAAGTCAAGGCCCTCTCACTTTGCCTCTGGCCTATTACATTCACCATACTAGCAATGAACCATGGGGGTGCAACAATTCCTAGACGGGTTTCATTCAAACCAATGGTGAAATTCTTGACCATAATTCTGTGTTCACAGCTCAGAGCTAACAGGCAACCACCAGCTGGAGAATGACCATTTATCACAGCCACAGTGGGGTATGCAGTCTGGTACAGTTTTATCCATGTTTCTTGTAATTTTGTCCAAAACTCTTTCACCCTATCCAAATTTGGTTTGTACATTTCCAAGATATCCAGTCCAGCAGAGAACACACCATCATTAGTTGATGTTAGAATCAGACCTCTTGAGTTATTATCAGTAGCTTCAGTTAGAGCTGATGATATTTCAGTCAACAGTTCCAGATTTAGACTGTTCACAGGGGGCCTCTGCAAACTGAGAGTGGCAACTCCTGTTTTATCATTTACTGTGAGAGATACAAGCTGAGCATTTTGGCTCATACACCTAATACCCGATCTGAGCATTCTGAGAGACTGAAAACATAGCAATGCCATTTTAACAGAGCTTGAAACACAGATCACACCACTTAACTAGAACAGATACAACAGAACTTGAAAGAAATTCAGATCATAACTTGCATGTGAATTGTATTGTTTCAAAAGCAGAGATTTGAATCAAAGTTTTTTGATAAGTCCAAAGTTCACACCACAACTTGAGTAACCTGATACAAAGATCAACAAAATAATTTAAAATTATCAAGAAGACAGGAATTCAGGAATATTATTTTTATAATGTTTATGCCATAAACTGAGCCATAAACCAATATATTCTTTGCATAAACAATCAAGAATCAAACTTGCGTCTACGTCTAGCCCCTGCGGGCAACTGCATGAGTTGCGCCAGTGCAGTGAGATTCGAAGGCGGGGACGCGGTCACAGTCTCGCGGTCTTTTCCAGTGCCGAACCGTTGATTGATATAATTACGCCACGATACGCTTACCCAGCGTAAGCAAAATAGTATATTATGTAACAAGTGTTATAAACGTCCTTTTAGTAACGAGTAGTTTAAGCACGAGCGGAGCGAGTGTTTAATCCCTGGAACACATTGTCAAGGGAGGTGTTCCCCGAGACATATAACCTCCAGAAATTCAAGAAGAACACCAATTCCTACCTTATTTTCCTTGGTTCTCACGATGCATGACTATCACCCTCTGTAGGTATATTAGTTCCTACCACTATTCGGTAAATAAAATTTCTTACATATGTGGTTGTCATGATCTATCACGGAGTTTATCATTTTAATTCTGATCCACCCAGCAATAACAAATAGAATATTCAAATTTTTAGAAATCGATTAGTATAAATAATCTCGATCCATTGAAAATTGCGTACCGAATTTATGCTCTCGGATTTTCCGTTGCAGGCCTTTTTTTATTCGTTTCTTTAACGTCGGCCTTTTTCTACTACTGAGGCTAATCACCGACCCGACGTTGCAGGCCTTATAATCTCGATGGTTATAAAGGTTATAAACACACCGAGTATTCTGTCAAAGAGGAACCTACTATTTTTTGATTCTGTGCCCGCGTATAGAGTATCGCTGGCGACGCTGGCTCAACACAAGCAGTTACCCGCAGGGGCTAGACGAAAGCACAGTAGAGTCAAGCTCCACTCACTGTTGTCACTGTCACTGTTCGAATCCGTGGTCAGAACAAAAGGTTGTCAGTGGTCGGCTAATATCATATATCTACTACTAATATATGAATCATCGCTGTCCTCAAAGCGGAACCAACTTCTGTCTCTATAGGTAACGAAATCGACCAATAGGCGTTGATGCCGACGTAGGGAAAAAAATAATACGACAATATGGCTACTTATTTCAAATTTTCCATCCTTCACTTTCCGACTTTATAGATTCAGAAGGTGCCTCCCATTTTGGTCCCATTTTCGTTCCGTACGTACAACACTTGAAAGTGTAGTGTAGTGCAAGTACAATGTGATATAATGATAGTTCTGTTGGAGTTGTTTTTACTGGTGCGCATCGAGTATTCGTCATTCGAGTACAATTCAATTGTTCACTCCCTAATCCGATCGAAGATCTAAGCTTCTACCCATTTACTTCTACCCGACTTTTCCTAGGTCTATTCGTCAGTGTTGCTGAACTAGCTAAAGTTGATTTTGTTCCCATATTCTCTAGGATCAATCATATTTTTGCAATGTGCATTACTTTATATATTTTTTCGCCTACCATAAAATATGATAATGAATCATATCAACCCTAAACATGTGACCGAAAATTATGTATATCCACCCTTTTGGGCTGCTTATCAGTATAGGCGATAGGACTATTAATTTTTTATTTCTTAAATAGAATCATCACTCAAATACCTGTCAAACTCATATTTTTTAGAATTTTTCGGTCGATTTTAAGGCTCTTTAATAAATGATTCCACGAACATTTTCAAACGGCTAGCAATTTACCGCGATTAATATAACTGACGTCAGGATTTCGTAAGTAGGGACAGACTTCAGAAATATTAGTTATTCAATTATTCATATGCCTATTCTCAATTATACAAGGTGTTTTTGAAATAAATGCACATATTCACCACATTAATATGATACACTCTAATTCTCGTAATTAACGAGAAATTTATTCATCCCAAAAATTGAACAAAATACGAAAAAAAAATCAAGTACGCCATTTTAAAACAATTTGAATGATTGAACTCCGCGTGATTGTGCCTATCGAATGAAAATTTGAACAGATAAGACGTCAGATTTGCTACAGTGTAGAACTTTGGGCGGAAGAAAGGATCTAACCTCAAATTTTAATACACGTCGAGCTTTCTAGTGTTTGAAATATCTGCACTTATTTCAATGCCACCCTATATATGTGTCGGTAATATTCCTAATTTGCAATAAAACATTGATTATTGTCTCAAAATATTCCCTCGATCATGTGTTGTGACTTATTGCTTATTCACACTGCTAGAGGACATTTGAACCGGTGAACATGAAAACATGGCGCACGAATTGTGGGCGTTGTCTTGTCATTTAGCACTTGAGATCAATGATCTAAGTTTAGCACAATCTTGTGAAGTATAAGAAATATTTGGACATGTCGATTGCTCGAAAAAGTCAAGAATGAACTATAATATCATATGGGTTCCTCCTATTATGGCTTATTCAACGACAGGACTCAATATCCTTTTGATAACTTGATTATAATTGGTGACTTGAGAACCTTGATTCATGTGTGGGACAATGGAAGATTATCTGACCAATAACGAAAGAGCACAAAAACTGAGGTCACCATTTATTCCACGCGTAACGTAATGTAATCCAAATGGCGGCCATGATGACGGCACGTTTGAAATTAGCTCTGAAATTCAACAATTTCGAACAACGCAGACTCATTATTTATTACATAAAAAAGGTGTGAGAAGTATTGCAAAAATTATTTATTTAATGACACAGTGGAGTAATTGAGCGCCAATAATTCATTATCAGTCCACTCGCCCAATGCAGAAAACGCTATAGCAGTGTCCTTATAGCTACCAGCTGCCTTTGCTTAGCTCGCGCAGCTAATAGACGTACGTGGGCTGCTGAATCTCTTTTTCTGCCCATGTGACACAATGTACTATTATTTCTGACCGGGATATTATAAGATTATATCCTCATAGTTACACAGGAGGGTCATCATGACTCCCTTGGGAAATCATTCTTGTGAAATTAAAGATTATACAGGGTGTTTCAAAATTCAGTATCAAGATTTTAGGGGCGTATTTTTCAGGTCAAAATAAGACGTTTTTGTCCATAAACATGTGTCCGCAAACGCTTCGTTACCGATCTACAGAGCGTTAAAGTTTCAACATTTTTTTATTTTTTTCTCCATAGCTCTATCACTTTTTGAGATATTAAGATCAAATTTGAAATATAGGTTACCTTTTAGGGTTTACATCATCCAGTATGCCGAGTGATTGTAACAAGCTACAGGGAGATATTTTTTCATGGGATCAAGCCCTTTTTCGCCCCATGAACTTTTTTGTAGTGCGCCGCTGGTGGATTCTAAAATATGAAATGAATTCTTTGTTTTGTTCATAAATTTATTTGTCTCTTGTAATTATCACGCATCTGCGATCGTTATCGAGAAAAAAGTAAAATCAATTTTTGTGATTCGCTACATTTAATTAATTTTTTTAACAAAAGGTAGGAACCTATTACAAGTTTCCTTGAACATTACCTAAAAAATAAGAAACCTAACGAACCTTGACTTTTCATAAAAGGTGCTCGAAATGCCCTCCTCCTTCTGCGATACAACCTTCCACTCTTCTTCTCATAGACTGCCGTACGCGTTCCAAAATTCCGGGGGTGTTTCTTATGGTGTGGAAGGCATCCATAATTCGTTCAGTAAGAACTTCGATGGAAGGCACTGGTTCTACACCATAAACTAGGCCCTTTACATGTCCCCATAAAAAGAAGCCCACTAATTCGCTTTCTCATTGTTCCGTTGAAAATTTTAATTAAATGTAGCGAATCACAAAAATTGATTTTACTTTTTTCTCGATAACGATCGCAGATGCGTGAAAATTACAAGAGACAAAAAAATTTATAAACAAAACAAAGAATTCATTTCGTATCTCGGAATTCACCAGCGGCGCACCACAAAAAAGTTTATGGGGTAAAAAAGGGCTTGACCCCTGAAAAAAATATCTCCCTGTAGATTCTCACAATCACTCGGCATGCTGGATGATGTTAGCCCTAGAACGTAACCTACATTCCAAATTTGATCTTAATATCTCAAAAATTGAAAGAGCTATGAAGAAAAAAATAAAAAAATCTTGAAACTTTACCGCTCTGTAGATCGGTAACGAAGCGTTTGCGGACACATGTTTATGGACCAAAACGTCTTATTTTGACCTGAAAAATACGCCCCTAAAATCTTGATACTGAATTTTGAAACACCCTGTATAGTTCCCTCATATAACCTACCTGACAATGAATAAGAAAAGCATTGCAAAAACGTAGTAACCGCAAATCTATAATCAATGATACCTATCTTTGTATCAGGGGAATTAATGAATCTTGTATATCATCAGGCAATTGCTGTCCCTCGAGCTAGGGGCCCAAACTTTGCCATCGGTAATTAAGGCCCTTATAATTCCCTTGATACTTAAATAACTATTATAATGTATACGATAGGGTTTCGACAAAATCATTTAAAAAAAGACTTGATTATACAAATTCGTTTATGTATAATTAATTATCCAGCTAAATAACTACACAAAAATTATAAGAAAAAATCATAACCTCACAAAAACAGTGACTTTCCTAAATATATATCTATGTACAAAATCATAATGAATTTCATAGAGGAATATAATATTTACAATATATATCACTTCCTATATAATGTTATTCTCACAACAACAACAACAATAAAAAAAAAGAAAACTACTCAACTGAATTTGAATAAATACATTTACGATTTTTTACTAAATCATTTGTGTTAAGATTTACATTATTACATTTGATAATGGTAAGGTATATTACGATGTGTGGGACCAAGAGGAGTAGCTGAAAAAAAAATATTTCAAATTCAAACAGGGACAACATAAATTTGGATTGGTGTCAATCACTCAAGTCCCTGTCTACAGGGTTGCAACGCGAAATAATGAAAACTATATATTAGTAGCACTAAGAAGCAGCAGAGAGGAGAAATAACATAAAATCACCTGTTTCCAATATATTCGAAAAAAAAATTAAATATTGAGAAATAAATCCAATATATTGAAAAAAAATCCAATATATCGAAAAATGATACAATATGTTGGGAGAAAATCCAATATTTTGGAAAAAAATCCAATAGACAGGGTGTTCCTTAAGTACGTGTAGAAAATCCAGGAACATGTTGCTGACGTCAAAATGAAAAGAAAACTTCGTATAAATATATGTCCGAAAGTTATTCGTTTCTGAGATACAGAGTGTCAAAGTTGGATTCTTATTTTTGTTTTTTGTTAATAAATTTCAAAATAATTGTGATATTCGAATGAAGTTTGATATCTAGGGGTATTTTTCGATGACAATATCAAATTTTCTGTTAGTTTATCTCTTTTTTGGGGGTGGCGCCACCTACATGTCTTTATACACGTTTTATAGTAGAAAAGTAGATTTCTAGAACACAAGAGCCATAGGCGAATGCTGCAATCATTCGAGTAGGAAATTAGCATTCCGTGCAAGTTATACACTATAATTTTTCTACGGCTGTAACATATAACAGCGGCATTTTCGATTTCTTCGGCTTGTAGCAATCTGATTTCCTGTCAAGTAATGTTCATCTATTAGACAGAGCTGTCATTGCTTGACATTTGACATTCCATGAGCGATGAGATTTTTTTTAAATAATAAACACAATGGAGTCATTGTGATATCAGATCATAAACCCACTAAACATATACAGATAACATCCTATGTTTCCATGGTCAAAAAGGAAGCCAGTTTTGAGGAAACAAATGACAGTCTGCGGGTAATAATACCTATTTGCGCATGCGCGGGATTTGTCAAAATCACGAGTGAAAATGGAGGACGAATTTGATTTGTATTTTATTTATATATTACTATGTTGTTGAAGTTTCTTACCGATGCCTTGTATAGAATTACAAGCTCTAAATTATTCACAGTGTTAATCATATTCTGGTTTATATGTTGAAATAAAGCAAAATTGAGAGGTACTCATAGAATTAAAAAGTGACAAAAAAAATCATTTGATTGGCTACTGAAATTGCACTTGTCTTTTCTATAGAAACATCATAGGCACTTTCACAAGAATGATCAGTCCTGGTGGAAGTTGCATCAGCACTCTGGCAAGCAAGTTCTATCCTTACAGCATCTTTGTCATTATCAGATTCATTCGATTCTCTTACTGAAGATGATGTGGTTGATATAGCTGAAGACATATTCAAGTTTTGTATGGAAGTGACCTTCCTCTTTCCCATTCATATCCATTGATCACAAGTTTTACATTTTGATGCATTGTAATTGGTGAATTCTGTGAAGGTATTTAATCTGCGTCACAGAAAATGTACCTACTTCTGCAATTGTATTTGAATTCCCTTGAAACTTCGAAGAAAAGCACATTACATAGAACACTGAAAATATATTTTCTTAAATTGAGAAATTACCTTCATAATCTGTTTCTAAGATGTGTCTGCTACAGACAGGCATATATATTTGTAAATGGGCTTCCCAATTTTAAGGCCTGTTCGTTTGTATTGCTGAACTTGCTAAAGTTGATTTTATTCCCATAGTTGTCTCTGTTCATGGCATGATGTAAACAAAGAAAGTCATAGAAAAAATTCAAGTTCAGCAGGTAGAGCAAGAACAAACGAACAGGCATTTTGTAATATTCTGCCACACTTCCTATAATTTTGCATCTGTTGGGAAGCTGTACATTCGTATGTTTATAATGTCTTGCACTTGTTGGCCATTATTCGAAGTATTCTGATACAAAAAACTTCAGCAAACTCGTTCCAAAACCGCGAATTAAAGCTGTTTGCTTCATCAAAACCACCAAAACTGAATTCCAGTGAAGTCATGATTTCTTAATTTCTTGTCTGAGGCTTCAGATTCAGATAAAAAAATATAAACATTGAATTTTAGGTTATGTCGTACATTTCACGAAAGTTTCAATAATACTCATATGTTCATTACAAAGCCATCGCCTGCTGAAAGAAATTTTGCAAACTGATGTCTCTTCTTATTTTTAGATGACGCATGCACTGTAATACAGTTTTGCTCGCAGACTGTCATTTATTTAATATTTTGGCTTCACTTAGAGATCCTTGTTATCCGTATATGTTTAGTAGGTATATGTATCAGATACGGAAATAAAATTGCTGATATACAAAGTACCTCATTGATGTATCGAACACAGTAAAGCAAGAGCAATTTTGTCCGTAGAAAAAAGTGCTTTTTCACACTTTTTCGTAAAATAATGAAACGGTATTTTGATATTGAAAAATTGTACATTTTAGGCACACAAAATATATCAGAAAGGTGCAGTTTTTCTTGACAGATGTAGAAAAAACAAACGAAATTACCTGGTCTAGACGTCGGCGGTGGTGGCGGCGGAGGCGGCGGCGGCGCTATGTGGATCGGCGCTATGCCGTGATGGTGGGCCATTTGGGCGTCCGCTGGATGGACGCTCAGATGGCGCTGGGGAGGCGCTTGTTGAAGGTGTGACCTGTGCATCTGAGGGGCCGGCAGGCCCATCACTACGTTCATCGGGGATTGCCTAAACAGCCATAGGAAACAATAATAACCAGTTCATTCAATGAGGTTAAAAAAACATTGCAGTAACGTCGAATTTGACATTGTTTAGCAACCTGAATCTTCGAGCAACCTCTATTTCACGTTTCAATTACGTACTAGTTCTGTCACGTTTATTCAACGTTTCAAATTCACGTACAAAGTCTGTTGAATTAATTATTCAATAACAACTATATTTTTTAAGCAACCTTTATTTAACGTTTCAATTACTATTTTGTTTTACGTTCATTAACCGTTCTGAGATTACGTGTATGATCCGTGGAAGCATTTTTCAATAGGAACTATATATTCGAGCAACCTTTATTCCATGTTTCCACTACTTTTTTCACGTTTATTAAACGTTTTGAAATTACGTGAATGATTCGTTGAATGAATCATTCAACAAACAAACAACTTTATCTTTGAGCAACCTATATATATTTTTTTATGTTCTGGCTCCCACGAAAAGGGATATCCTGTAATGTTCACAGAACATCGTGAGAACCAAGGGAAATAAGGTAGGAATTGGTGTTCTTCTTGATTTTCTGGAGGTTATATGCCTCGGGGAACACCTGCCTTGGCAATGTGTTCCAGAGCCTCGCTGTTCGTTGGATGAACGAGTCGTTGAAAAGAGATGTTCTGCAGATCTCCAAAGTGACCACGAAGGGGTGCGAAGCCTCAACTCGACGGGTTAATCTCGCGGGGACTGCCAAGGGAGGAACCATTGTTGATATTTCAGAAGAGCATCGTCCATGAAAATATATATAAAAAATTGCCAGATCGCCAACTTTTCTACGGTGTTCTAGAGAAGTGAGTGACTTTGTGAGCGAGGCATCACCCACGAGACGAATTGCCCTTCTTTGAACAGAATCCAACAGTTTCAGGGTTTGTTTGGGTGCTGCACTACAAATATGGGAACAGTTATCCAGGACAGGTCGGATCTGTGCCTTATAGATCATAAGCAGTTGACTGGAAGTGAAGTAGCTCCTGGATCGAAACAGAAAACCAAGTTTTTGGGATGCACTTTTAGCGATTGATCTCACGTGATTTTCCCAAGAAAGGTTATTGCTGATAGTAATACCAAGCATCGAAATGGATGTGTCCAAAGGTATGGTTGCTGCTGACAAGTTTATGTTGGGCACAGTGAGATCGGCTCTTCTAGAGAAAAGGCACACAGCACACAGGCTCACTATTCAAGATATTGCATACTAGCTGACCCAGCTAATGTTGTTTTGCTATTATACCTACATTATTTCTAGAAAATATTTTTTCAATTGAATTTTCAACACATTTTTGTTATTTTATTCTCTACTTCTTTTCTGTTTAACTAACTTTTCAGTTCGGTAATTTATCTCTTTAGTTTTCTAAGATAGTATTTATTTTCTACTTCTTTTTAGTTATGCTATCTGTAACAGCGTGTTCCATTAGTTTTTCATTTATTACAATGCTCGTTCGACATATTACATCCGCCATCTTGAATTTTCTAATTATGACGAAAGTATCATAATCTCCGACCCCGAAAACCCTCATGTACCAATTTTGAATAGAATCGGATCATAATTGGAAATCTACTTAACTATATTGGATCCGACATCTTGGCTTTCTCAAAGTTTTCAAAACCGGATTTTTCTGCTTTCGGTTTAAAACAGTATTTTTCAAAGAAAAATAATGCGAAAAAAAGGAGTTGAATAGCATCCGTTCGATAGATATTCAATTATCTCATGAAAACCGATTTTTTGCCCATATGTCTCCGTGTTAATTTTTTTGTGCTTGAAAAATTGTCTCGATTTTAGTCATTATACATTGCATCTGATGAATTCATTGAAATCAGGAGAGAATTTTGGAAAAAATATATATTCAACCCGTGTTGAATTCTTCCACACTTGAATAGGACCATCCGTTCAATACATAATATTATTATGACGATTTAATTTTCTCATGAAAACATATTTGCCTATATGTCCCTGTGTTAATTAATTTCCTGCTTGAGAAATTGTCTCGATTTTTTTCACTACATTGTGTCTGTTGAATTCGTTCAAATCACGAGAGATTTTTGGAAAAAATGTGCTGAATTCTTTCGAATTTTGAGATTTTCGAAAAAAATACTGCCAGTATGTATGTATGTCAGCCTTCAATTCACCATCTTGTATTATGTATACTGTATTTGCTTTCCCCCCCGTATACTTTCATTATCATCATTAGTGATAGATGAATCACTTTCTCGATTAACAGCATGATTCAACTTATAAGTCATTCATTCGGGACCGAGCGGTGAATCAACACAGTCTTATATTAGATGTCATCAAGTACGGTCGAATTTTGTGATCGACATGAACAAATACGCGAAATATGAAATTAATCATTATTCCAAATGGAGTGTTTACTTGAAAATGAGTGATAGTATTGTGTTTTGTGTTTCTCAGTTCAGTGATTACATACAGGATGACCATTTGGAAACGAAACAGCTGCTCTGTAGGTCGACAGAACCGGATTATAAAAAACGTCAACTACATTTTCGAAAGGGACAGAGTGGCATCAATTTTGTTATTTCGAATGGAATACCCTGTATTTCATCGCATTTATGGATTCTCTCTGTGTCGGAACTATTCATTATGGGTCAGAACAGCTTCAATGTCCCCATATTAGCCCTTCATTTGCTATCTACAGGCATTCAATTGGAACAGATACAGAGTGATTAGAATTTTGAATCTCGAATCACCCTATATTTGATTCAATTAAATGTGAGTAAGTAGATAGGAAATCAAAAATAAAAATAGGAACATGTAAGCCCTTCTGACCAATAATGACGTTGCGACACAAAAGAACCTAGGGTTGAAAAATCTCGATTTTGAACAACCCATATCTCTGTAATCATTTGCGCTAGAGCACAAGTGTGATGTATTGATGAAATCAGCTCTTCAAAAAGAATCAAAAAATGCAATGAAATACAGGGTACTCCATTTTAAATAACAAAGTTGTAGCTACTTGTCGATAGAAGCGGCAACGCAGCAGCACTGATGATATTTTATAACGATGTCCCCCTCGAAAATGTAGTTGAAGTATTTCAGCGATTTTTATAATCCGGATCTGTCGACCTACAGAGCCGCTGTTTCGTTTTCACATGGCCACCCATATCGTGATCGTGTGTTGTGATTTTGTGTTGTTTTGGTGTTCGGTGCTGTGAAACGGAAATTTCAATAGTGAAATAGCAGAAGCTCGAGAAGGAGACTATGTTGTACGGGATCATTTAGTTTTATCACAGCCTAACTTTTGATACGCTGGTGAGTGTTTTTTTTCTTTCATTTTTTCATTATGAGTGATAGTACCGGGTGGCCCATTGAAGACGATCCACTCTTTTCTCCGTTGTGTTGCAATTAATGAAAAATTGCTCGGACAGGTCGATTTCAATTTGGCGGGCCCCTTTTTTCTGCAATAATTATGAGTTGAAACCTTGTAGCGCAATAACATTCGATATTCAAATGGAACACCCTGTATTTTATTGCATTTTTAGATTCTCTCTGAAGAGCTGATTTCATCGTTGCATCACACTTGGGGTCAAGAGGGAATGATTACAGATATATAGGATGTTCAAAATCGAGATTATTTAAATATAGGATTTTTTTGTGTTCAAACTATCAATCATCGGTCAAAACTGATTGCATGTCCCTATCTTAACTTCTGATTTACTATCTACTGACATTTAATTGGCACAAATACAGGGTGGTTCAAGATTAAGAATTCTGATCACCCTGTATGTATTTCAATTGAATGTCAGTAGATAGTAAATCAAAAGTTAAGATAGGGACATGAAAACCGTTTTGATAGATAAGGAACAGTTTCGACACAAAAAAATTCTAAAATTGAAAAATCTCGATTCCTATATCTCTGTAATCATTTCTGCTAGACCCTAAGTATGATCCATTGATGGTGAAAAATATTCGAAATAATAAATCAACTACGAAATAGCCACATTGCTCAAAGTGGAATGAAATGTTAAATAAAAACAAAAAGCTCGAAATCATTTCCACACAATGTTCATAAAATGAACAACAATGGTAGATTTCGGGAGAAAAACAACTACTTTCTTGGCTAATGCCACGCAGAACATTGAATTACCTCCCAAAATCTATGCATCGACTCGTATAAACGAATACTGATAAAGTGATTCTTTCCTGAATGCCTATTGATTTCGATTTTGCCAGGCCACTCCAGACACCTACAGACCGGTTTTGAGCTCTTTGACTCTCATCAAATATATGCCGACTTGATTTTTGTTTGGCTAGTTAGTCTACGCTTAGTCGGGGGTCTTAAGACTGCTGGCTGGAGACTGCCCTGCACTGATGAGAGTCAAAGAGCTAGAAACCGGCCTGTTGGTGTCTAGCGTGGCCTGGCTAAATCTAAATCAATAAGCATTCAGGTAAGAATCACTTGTATCATTATTCGTCTATACGAGTCGATGCATAGATTTCGGGAGGATTTAATTCAATGATCTGCGTGGCATTAGCTAGGAAAGTAGTTGTTTTTTCCCGAAATCTACCATTGATCTTTTTGTATTCATTCATTTAAATGATAAATTACAAGTGTTCATCTTGTATTATGAATGCTATATTTCCTTTCCCCCCGTATACTATCATTATCATGATAAACTTTCCCAACGTGTTATTTGTCCTATACGCTACTCTCAGTCCTGTTTATGTAGAAATGAAGCTAAATTTTCAGTTGATGGTCCGATATAGGTTAAAGTTCGATAATTTTGATTATCATTCTTGATGTTAGGATAAACTTAAATTTAATGTAGACATTGTGCCTAAAATGGAGGTTTATCGATCCTGTCCACAGGTAACTAATCCTCCAAGTTGGGAAAGTAGGATATAAAAGTTAAGCAAGCCAACGTTGGTTTAGTTCATTGTACCAGTATATCACCTGAGGAAGCTACTGTGTTAGCGAAACATGTTGTGTGTATAAGAATTTTGTGGAAATCTTATC